CTTCGTCCGACCTACGTAGAGGGAGGGGGGGGGGGTTAAGGAGCTACAGTGTTAGAATGGGAACTACAATCCTAGCTAAACGCCTTTTATTCTGTTTGCATTCGAAGTAAATGCAAATACAAATATTTGCATCAGATATAATTTCACTACACGTTTAAAAATCAAGGCATTCTCAGCACTAAGATGCTTTTGTATGGGAATTTGGAGACACGATGCGTTCCTCATATATGCCTTTTTAGTGAAAGTAATATTGGGGATAAGAATGAGCTGTTGTCTATATTGATACTTAACGAGAAGCCTCGTAATTCTCCTATCGTGGCATGAGCAAAACTTGTTGAGATGTGCTTGTCCACCTATAGCCCGTGTGCTCATTCGCCTCTGGGCAATGTCAAAGCTGGGTGAAGGCTATAATGTTCTTGTCGTCGGAGCCGGTGGAATCGGTTGTGAACTTTTGAAAAATCTCGTTTACAGTGGATTTAAGAAGATCTCGCTAGTAGGCCCCTTCAACATCTTTTACTTGGTAGATTGACTTAGACACCATAGATGTAAGCAATTTGAATAGACAGTTTCTCTTTCGAAAGATTCACGTTGGAAAATCTAAAGCCGAGGTAACATCTTCGATTTAGTCCGGTATTCTGCCCTTAGGTGGCTTCTGAGAGCATCAAACAATTGCGGAACGATGTTGATTTGACACCCTACCATGCGAGCATATTCAGTTCCCGATTCAATGATGAGTTTTTCAAACAGTTTGACATCGTTTTCAGTGCCCTTGATAATCAAGGTTTGTGCAGGAAATTGGGCTAAATACTGTTGCTTTCCAGCTGCAAGACGTCACATCAACCGAATGTGTGTCTACCTAAACAAGCCCATTATTGAATCCGGAACTGCGGGTTATTTAGGTCAAGTGGAGCCTTTAGTCTACGCTGAAAGGACTCCAAAAGGACCTCAAGCACCCTGTTTTGAGTGCACCCCGAGGGCGAATGATAGACGAACTTATCCCACTTGTACTATTCGTAATACTCCCTCAGAACCGGTTCATTGCGTTGTCTGGGCGAAATTCCTCTTTAAGTTAGTTCTTTTTCATACAGAAATAATTTGTGGTGTGATTTGAAATTGCTATGCACCGTCTTGCCTTTCAGTCAACTTTTTGGAGAGGCGGATTTTGAGAACGAGGAAGTTTCTCCCGATATGGACGACCCAGAAGCACAGAACTCCAAAAACCACCAGGATGATGAAAAATCTGAAGAAAACAGCTCCTTATGGTCGCGAACCGCTGATTCCTGCGACTTCTCTATGAGTCCCGAAGAGTCCCTCGCTTTGCGACTATTCAACAGGGACATCTCAACGTTGTTGAGCATGCGCAGCCTGTGGGTGGATCATCCAGATAGACGTGAACCGTGTCCACTGGATGCATGCACGTTGAAGGCGGCTAGAGCTCATCCAGGTACATGTCGTTGCATCCATCTACCACTTTGTACCTGGTTATGCACTTCACTTATGTTCGTGTGAATTTTTTTTTTTCAGGTCTAGATGGTAAAGACGGTGCAGAGGGCCTGCGAGACCAGCGACAAATGAGTTTGGAGGGCTGGATCAGTCTTTTCCTTTCCAGTACCAGAGCGCTGCGTGGGAAAGCAGGCCTCGCGGACCCTGCGGCCGGGGATCACAAACCGCTCGTGTGGGATAAGGTGGGTCGCTTCTCCTCTACTCGCTCTGCTATGTTCTCCGTTGCGGCAGTAATTTAACTGGAATTGAGTTAGCAACGATTTAAAGGAAGGGGACTATTGCTCAGAATGCCAATTGAAAGGACCTCGGTGTCGTTTATGCGCTGTTTTTCTTTGTCCCGCGACCTCGTCACTTGTTGGCTCCGTCCCGTAGACCAACCGGCCATTACAACCCCGTTTTATTTTTCTGGTCAAGCAACACCGTTTACAAAGGTAACAGGTCGCTCTTCTTCGATAATGAGCATCGTACATCTACTTTGTTGCTTTTTAACTCAACCAATCTGTTTGCCCACTGATTTTGCGCGATCATTTCTCATAAATACGGAGTACTTGCGTCAAATACAGGTGACGCTAACAGAAACAGTAGTAAAATGTGTTAAAACTGCGTCTTTTCTCGTCTTTTTTTCTGCTGGCATTTTAATTCACCTATCAAATAAATTATTCTGAGAAATTAGATTGGCCAAAAAATTACAAAAGCTTTTGGCTGCTTTAGGAATATTGCAGGACGTATTTGAGATGAAACTGATATTACCGCCTGTTTGAACAGTTTTGGCATAAAAATACAGGGAATGGTTTGTAAAAGAACGAAATCACGGAGGCTGATTCACCCCTGTTGGTGTTTTCCTCCGGCTAGACAGTAGTGTATCCTGTAGGCTTCGGAAATTGCTTCAAGGAAAGTGGATCTTAACTCAAAAGACTACTGTTGACTAGTAGATTCCCTGACCGGATCGGCTCTCACGTTGGGCAAATGAAATGGAAAAAGTCTCATTAAAGTACACGAACTCATTTCACTCTCTTCCTTCACTGCGCTTATTTAAATGCCTCTCTGCATTCAAGGGAAGGGGGAGATGGTCTTGTGTAGGTTGATGGAGAATACGTTAGGAAGTGCCTTTTATTAAGGAACCAAGAAGTCTAGCATTTGGATGATCTTGCTGCCATCAGTGGGAGAGAGGTAAATTTCATAGTATTCCCTCTGTCAATGCATGGAAGAATCGTGCTCTGTGAGAATCCACCGAACAGATCATTTCTTTCATTGCTACCCGTTTCCTGATAACCCCGAGGGTCATTTTAAAGGCTCATCATGCCTTCTCATGTTGTCAGTTTTGGAGCTGTTAGTTATTGGAAGTGGTTCATCTGAGAAAACTCTGCCAGCTCGTAGACTTCATTCTTGGCAAAGCAGAGCGGTTGTTGACTGGTGGAGACTTACCAAAAGCTGCGCACTTATTTATGGGGACCTTTCGCCTTTTTCAAAGACTGCGAAGGGGCACCTAAGGGCCATGATCACTGCTTATCGAGGCGTCGAAACAGTCTTCACTCCATTAAATATTACCGTTGGTGACGGAAATGTGACCCTCGTGTACACGAAAAGCTTTACTTCAATTTGTGAAGGCCCAATCTTCTTCTTGTGGGTCTCAACTTCACTGGTGTAGAAAAAACTTCCCATCTGAAAGGAAAGGGAATGCCGTGGCGCAACTCAGTGGCGGTTCTACTTTACCTGTCAGGAGCCGTTTATGGTGTGCTAGGGACGTTGAAGGATGGGAGTGTGAGATTACTAATTGTATTTGTTTGATAGGATTTTGTTGCCATTGCGCAACCTAATAAGTTTACGTAGTTTTTTTATAACTTGAACTTAAGTAATAGGATGAGGTTTTCATTTGTTAAAGTACCTAACATTTCACCTTTTCGTCCAGTACCAATACGACTTGGAGTTGGTGCGGATTTCACTTTTATGTAATGCTTTGTCTCCAGAAGCCAACGACACCTCAGCGCTGGCCCTGTCGTCGTGTTTATTATTCTATCTGCCTCAACGGTCTTAGTTACCAACTATCTACTGCCCATTTCTCATGTGATTATCTAAAGCCAAGAAAAGATGGCAACCATCACTAGGAGCAATTGCCTTCACCTAGGGGGTACGGGCGATGAAGAGGATAGGTGGCCACTAACCCTTGTCCTCCCTCCCTCTCTTCCTAACTAAATGGAAAGGCCTTTCACAGGTCAGTCCCGTAGGAATAGTGCGAGGACCTTGTTGTTCCGGTTGGCGCACTAGCTCTATTTGGTTTTTTTGAGAAGAAGGAAAAGCCTTTATTACACGCCTTGTCGTTGCATTTATCAGCGTGAATAGACCTCAGCCGTGATTGCTGTTTGGCCTTCAGCAAGTGAACTATTCCGTATGTATTCCATTACGTACACGCGCATGAACTTGCATACAAGGTAAGGATAGTCTTATTGGGGTTATGGATGAAGTGGTGCGTGTTTGAGGTGAGTAGTTTAGTCCGGGAGGAGAGGGGAGGAGGAGTGATTGTTTGGGTGGTGGCGAGTTCAGGATCCACCGCAGCCTCGGTTTCAGGTCACTCGAGTAAGGTGGATGCCACGGAAATTGCCAGCGAAGCATATTCCACAAGTGCTAGTATGTTTCCTTTCTTCATCTACTCTCCCATCGTCGGGCAAGGAAAGCGATTACTTGAACAACTGATAAAGCTTTTTTAGGAGAATCTACAGCAGAAAGAGTGCGAAGAGCTGCTCCAATATCTGCCATTCCTGACGCTTCTGGAGTTAGTTCAATTTGCCTATTACTGGAACCCACGACGGGGCTAATTCTCCGTTGGATAGCCATTTCATGAACCAACCAGTCAGCCAGTATGACCCACTTGAACCCAGCTAGTGAAGTACTAACCACTTGAGTGCTTCCATTCCACGTGTAGGATGACCCGGATGCCATGGATTTTGTCGCCGCAGCTTCCATCATCCGTGCCATCCTCTTCCACGTGCCCGGCGCCAAGGAGTTGACCCGTTTCGCGGTGAAATCTTTCGCTGGGAATATTATTCCCGCCATTGCTACCACCAACGCCATCATCGCCGGTGCTATGGTGCTACAAGCTCTCAATGTTCTCCAGGGCCGAATTGATGTGAGCAACCTCCCTTCACCTTAGGTCAAAAAAACTAAAGCGCCAGTTGAATTGGGTTAAGCTGCTACTTTCTCTTGCTCCATAGGCGGTCCGCACAGTGTTCCTCCATCGACAGCCGGCCGGTTTCGGGCGTTTTCTGGCACCATGTCGACCGGTTCCACCGAATCCAAATTGCCTGGTGTGCTCGGGGGCACAGACACAGGAGCTGCGTCTTCACTGCGACCCTGCGACGATGCGTCTGATTCACCTGAAGGAGAATGTGCTTATAAAGCATTTGGGCATGATTGCTCCAGATGTGGAGATAGAGGGTAAGGGAATCATCCTCATCTCCTCCGATGGCGATGAGACAGAAGGTGAGTTGGAAATGTCTACTGAAAGTTTGTACGCACTGCATTTCTTTTTGACGTAGCATTTGTTTACTCGTTTTGCTGTGCTGCATCATTATTTTCCGGTTAGAAATGTCAATTCTTCTTTTTAATTTGATGTTGGAACTGCGCAAGTGCGCTTCGACTACGTGGAGGTGAGCCTGCTAGGAAGAATGCTGTTATTATTAGTAACAAGCAATTTGGATTGAAATCGGAATGGCTTATCCACAGCTCGACGCCTTTTCTTTCAACTAGACATTGAACAGGAAACTCTGCTTGACTTCAATCTGACTGGTGAAGGCTGCCCTCGCCTGCGCTGCGACGACTTCCGACAGAATATGACCTTCTACCTGCGCATCGTCTCCAGCCAGCGAAGTCGTGACAATTCCAGTTGGCGTGTAGAGGGCGAATACGAGGCGTCGGATCAGGAGGCTGCAAAAGAAACAGATCGTACGTGGTGTTTTGAAAGGCTTACTGCCATCCCGAGGCCTATCACACTCCTCTACGTCATACCTCCTTAAGCAGTTCGTTTTAGGCCTCACAATTCTCCGTTTTCTCCCACTTTCTTCCCAGGTCCCGAGCCACCTCCAACCGGGTCCAAACGCACGCGTGAGACAGACGATTCCGACATTGAAGAGGTCTATTCTTCCATTGACAATTCTGAGCCTTCACAACCGTCTAAGGTCCGTAAACTCGGTCTAGATGATGGTGTCGTTGAAGGGGATGAAGACGAAGAGATTGTTATGCTAGATTGATGCTGACACCGGTCAATCATCCCGACTGAATTGTGTCACAGCTCTTTGTCATTATGTTAATAAAACGCATTTTTAATACTGCGACTGGTTTTGTTACCAGGGCTGATAAGGCGATTTCCTGCTTACTTATCAACTGCCTCGTCTTTTTCTGCAGACTAATGGCCTCGAACTCGGCAGAATTCGCGATCAAGGTTATCGACTGCTTTTACGAATTGCCGTCCACTGATGTTCTCTCCCTCCAGACGGAAGTGATGGACGTTGAGTCTTCTGCTCCCTTATCACCAGCTCATTCTTCCTCTGCGCCCTCTGAGCTTCCACCCATCTATGGTCAGGAGGTTTCGGAAGAGGTTAGGATTTTTTATTTTCCCCCTCTTTATCGAAATGAAACCCCCTCCTACAGTCGCAAACTAAGATCTTAAACTTCACCGTGCCTTTGCAGGCCCAGATCACCTACCTACAGGGGTTCATTTGGGTAGGGCGAATTCGTCCCTGATCTTTTGGGACAAGTTGGGTTACAAAGTCTCCTTTTAGTGGATAGAAGCGCACACGCAATTGACTCAGGAAATCTCGTCTCTGCGTGAACAACTGTTGCGTCAGCCACCACCCTCTTCAGAGGTCGAGGTTGCATCGTTATCGGAGTCTGCGCAGAACCTTGCCTCGCAGATTGTGGCCCTCCAACGGGGTGTGGAGAGTCTGCACCAATTCGCCTCCCAATTGGCTCAAATAACACGAGCAGCTGACCAAATTCAAGAGGTACGTTGGCTAGGTTGTCAAACTACCACTACCTGGAAAGTGGTGATGGTGAACTTCAAGCGTCACTACTAGCTGCTGTGTTACTGTCATTCCTCTTCTGTTTCAGGTCTCGGAGAAGCTTGCGGCATTGTCGACAGAGGAGGCGACAGGGCGACCTCTGAAGATCCTCCAGGAGGTGTCAGAAAACATTGAAGCGATTTGTAAATAAGCGGAACAGGCAGAGGAGTCGCGATGATCAAATATATGTGCTTATTTGTTGCTCTCTCATTTCTCCAAGTTATGTCAAGCTTGTTCGCGTTAACATGGCTTGCTTTTGCTGTGTGTGTTTATTTGGGTGACTTTCTTTCACTGGGGGTAGTGCAGCTACTGATTTGATGAACGTGTGCTGGGAGGCATGGATTGAGACGTCCGAAGGGGACGTCTCAATTTAGAGGAGCTCCGCTTCCGATTAAACGTCTCGCATTCACCTGACGGCTTGTGCTTTTCCACCGCTTCTGACCGGTTCTTTGCCTTGGCATGTTGAGATGGAAGTAATGGGCTGGGAGGCCTTTAGTAACAGTAAGGTCTAGTCGGTGTTGGCGTCCTCACTTTAAAGGGCTTGTACCTGTCAGTGTCCTACTTAATTATGAAATAAGTAGCGAGTGTGACGTTTGCGCTTTTAATTTCAGCTGCATGTCGGTGGGACGACGCTTCACTCTGGCCATTTTCAAACCTGACGTGCAGCGAATTGAGGTCTACCGCCAGGTCAGTCCGCCACCCATTTGATAACCTCATCACTGTTGGGGGATTGTGGTTGATGTTAGGATTGAGGGCCATGTCTCTTGGCTTTCTGATTAACTCCATGAACTTGACTAGTAGCTCTCTCTCTCTCGTATGCACTTGTAAGAGTTGTTTGAAAGGCGTTCTATTCAAAATGTCTCGCTTATTCCACCCCTTAGAATCCAGTACCTTAAGCCATTGTCAATAAGACAACCGGAGTTGGGTGGTCTGTCAATTCGTCCTTGGTTCAAACATTCCCATTCTCCCGATCATTCCCGCTTTACTCGCCCAGTCTTAATCCACTCATCCGATTCCGTGGACATTCGTTGATGTCCGTCGGTCGATCCGCCTATCAATCCTTCTACCATACGTTAATCCACTCCTTCTTGCGTCATCTGTTAAAATATCTCCAGATTGCTGGACCACCCCGCCATTCTTAACTTCTTGTCCATTAGGCACTTGATACACTGACACCTTTTTGATCAGCCTATCCATCCTTGGCTCACCCATCCTCCTCTCGTTCTGTGGCATCTTCATCCATCTTGGTTACCGGCACCACTCCCTGTTAATCTACTTCTCTTCTTGGTTCACTAAGTACGCGGAAGAGGCCATTCGAGGGAGCGGTTTGAAACCACTGGTCTACCGCGAATTCCGTATGTCTCGAGGACGCGCGGAGGACTTTTATGCTGCACATCGAGGTGCGCTTTTCTACTTTTCTTTCTCCTCTGTCCCTCTCCTCTCCTCGCCTCCCGTCTCCTTCTCACCACCCTGGCTAAGGCGGTCTAGTGTTCCTCTTTTCTGCCTTTTCAAATGCAGGCAAATTCTTCTACCAGCGTCTCGTCAACTACATGATCGCGTAAGAGTACGAATTTTAAGTCCTTTTTCCCAATTCACCCCTCCTCGCTAGCTTATTTGAAACACTCTACTGCTTGTTCTCTAAACACTGAACACCTCAATGTATTAGCTTCTAATCCCTGGTGAAAAGAAGGAGTAACGAGGCTTGAAATGCGTTTGACGGTTGACATCAATGGCTCCCTCGCTGATCCCGATGCCCTGATCCTTCCTTTTATCTGCCCCTTCAGTGGTCCGATCGGTGTTTACGTGCTGGCTGGCGAATCGGCCGTTTCGAGGTGGCGGGAACTCATTGGTCCAACCAAGACATATAAGTAGGTTTAAATTGCAGTTTTCTTCTTTACTTTTTCTTCCAGAACCGTGATTTTTGAACCAACTAGCCTTCGAGGATGTCTGGGTCTAACTGACACACGCAATGGTTTTCATGGTTCAGGTGGGAACTACTTTACCGCCACTCTGATGCGATAGCTTTAGATGGTGATGAGTCAGCGGAGGAAGAAATCAAATTCTTCTTTCCCGACTTCGACTTTACTCTCAAAGAGAAGACTTGACGCCTAGTCCCTGAAAGGTGTCATCATGCTTGGTTGGGGTACTCTTTCTCGAATATATCTTGATGGCTTCTAGTCAGTCTTGATCTGTTCTCGGTCGTATCGTGCCCAAACCTGTGAGCGAATGACTGCATATATATTAACTTGCGAGTAATGAGTAAGTCGGCAGCAGAGGTCAGGAAGCCTTAGAGTATGCAGTTGATGTGTGGGAAACGTCGGAGTCGTCAGTGCAAGTGGATAAAGGTGAGAAGCCAGGCGTGGCACCGTCATTTGTGGCTATGGATTCCAAGGCGGAGACAAAGGTGGGATTAGTGCTGTACTGCCCAAATCTTGTCCTATGGGAAAGGTGTATGGCTGTGGAATGCTTTCATGGTTTGTTTAACTCTGTGTTTGATCACGCGAGCTCTTGGGTCTCCGCAGATTGTATTTCCGCTCGGCGGCGTGGCCTCCAAGCCATGCCGATAGCCTGCCATGCTGCTGCGGCTTTTTACGACTTCATAGAGGACTTAGGGCGCTATGAACTGAAGTGACGGTGTGAACCCCTAAAAGAGTTTGTTATTGGAGCTGTCCGCGGTATCTATCTGGAGATGTCAACTAGGTGTACTCGCCATATCTCTACTAGCAGGATGGAGTCCAGATAGGTATTTAGCTGAGCAGCACTGGAGTGAGGAGAAAGTAGCAAGGAGGAACAGGCGCGAAACCTAACCCCAACGGAACCCTTTTAATGGTCGTCCATTGTTACCTAACTGCTTTTAGGCCGGTGGTCTTACAACCTGCAATGGGCATATGGGATGGCCTGCACATTCCTCCTTCCACCACTACGGTCCCCACATAAAATGAAACCCCAAATTCAGTGGAATATCGGAGAGGGATCGATGACGTTGAGGTCGAGTAACTCTTCAGTTGAATGGTATTTCTATCACTGGGAGGAGTGACTCGTGGGTGCTTTCCTTACAGAACCGATTGCGTTCGGCGTGCTGATTTGAAGGATTGGGCAAAGAGAGCGCCAAGAATGGTGCTTAAAATGCAGGGAAGGACATGCAGTGACTTCATTAATAATTTTTACGGCGTTTGACAATGCAGACATCTAGGTCTCCATAGGCGGAATATCTGGGTCATGCTGATAGCTTCCTAGTGCTTTCTGGCATGCTAATATTAAGTGTGTGACTATAAAAAAGACCTGGAGCACTACGGTCTTAAGGTATGTTTCGGCTGCAGTTTCCCCTTAGCATTTGTAGACCTGAACTCCCCGGGTGAATAATTCGCACCCATTATTCAAATCTAGGCTAGCGCAATAAAGATGTGCTCGTATACCAATCGGCTATAGTCAGTAAGTTAAAAAAAGTGTCGCGTTCTATTAAAATGCACTATGAGGTAAAATACGTGGGCTAAATTAAAAGGCTTCCAGTAAGGTCTTAGCAACGTCCCAGTTGCCTCCAAAACTTTACTTAGAGACTATTTTGCTAAAAATTTATTTTAGTCGCTATTTTTTCGTTTTATTTAAAAGCTTTATAATTTTTAAATTCTATCCAAGCTTTCTTGCTCTTAGTATTTTCCTGCATCTGATTGGTTAGTGAGGCCGTTGACATAGCCGCCTCTTATTTCCACTAAGATGACTGCCTCAGTTGCTGTTAAAGGTCCCCTCTACTTTGCTACCCTATTCCTTTTTTATATCGGTAAGATATCCCGCTGTTTTTATCTCTCACAGCTTTATATTACCTTCTAAGTGGCAATGGCTATCGTTTTGATATCGGATGGGTCCTCGAGGGTGTTTCACCCTACCTTTGGGCCTGTGTCGGTGTCGGCCTCGCGATCTCACTTTCCGTAGTCGGTGCTGCTTGGTAAATTTAGAATAGTACCTGCATGTGGTTTGAATGTTTGCGTATGAATAAATATGCTGTAATTTTGACCGGTTTTTTTAAATCGTGGATTTGTGTTGGTGATGTTTATTTTTCTGCTATTGAGCCTTTCTGTTTGCAAGAAGTAAACTCCAGTACTCCTTCGTCTTTTATGTGGTAATTATCCTTTATGGATACTCACACCATCTCGTAAATTAATTGTAGGGGCATCTATGTGACAGGGTCGAGCATCGTTGGTGCTGGTGTTAAGGCTCCTCGCATCAGAACCAAAAACCTCATCAGCATCATTTTTTGTGAAGCCGTTGCCATCTACGGAATCATTATGGCCATCGTCATCGGTAACCAGATTGAGGTAAGTCTTCCATTAATTTGTTTCTAATTGGCCTCAAGATGTTTGAATGAGGTCCTTTTAATCATACTTATACAAACGTATATCATATCCCTATAAGATATTCCACTCTTTTCATGACTTTACCTTGTATTGATATGAATACTCTGACGTGCTGCATACTCGCAGCTACCACACATTTTTAGATGTTTATTCTGACACTTCCACCTTTGCCTCTATTACTGGGGTATCACATTGCTGAGGTGTGATTCACGTTCTCTTAAATAATTTACAACTCCCCTACTACTGACGGCTGTTGCACAGCTGAGCGCCGATGTGATATTCGTATTCATGAAGCGGGGGCTGGTTCATGTTCTTCTTGAGGCATTATGTTGCTGTCATTGGCTTTTACAAAGTAGCGGCCGTCCCTAGTAGTCACCGCATTTGTTGCTATCACTGGGGAGAGAAAGGCAGTATATACTACTACTACTACCATTACTCATGCCATCCAGATAGATTCATGCTTCTCATTCTCTTTCATTGTTTTAACTGTTGGTATAAGGTAGCATGTCGTACAGATGTAGCTACGGGAATCGAGGTTGAGACGGCGCACTTATTTGCTTGGTTGAAGCATTAAATGTGGCTGTGCTGCATGTAAGACGTGTCAGCTAGTGCTCATGTGATGGAAATCGGTAAGTTATGAATCCACGCGATAGGTTACAGGGTGCTACTGAGAGGTCAGATCAGTACGTTAATGTGATAGGGTAGATCACTCCTTTGAGTCATTTCAGTCGACCATTGTCATCGTTTCCTGTTATGCTCTACCACGGTAGCTACTCAGTTGAAGACCTCGAGTAACCCTACTGAACTCGGGGAGGCCATTTGATTGGAAGGAAAGGAAGAACTGCCGAAGTTAATGAATTGAGGTGCCTGGCAGTATTCTGTAGATGTAGTTTTTTCAGGATTTATAAGTTAGCGGCCTGGTGAAGGTAGCATATTGCTTTAATTCAACGACTAAAATAGGTGGGTTTAATAGACTAACGAACATAATTTATTCCTTCCTCTGTCCTGCTTAGCCCTTCAATCCTGCAGTGGTGAGTGAAGCGGTGGTGCGAGCGAACTACCTAGCCGGCTACGCAATGTTCGGCGGGGGACTGACGGTGGGTTTGTGCAACCTCTTCTGTGGCGTCTGCGTGGGTGTGGTGGGCTCGGGCGCTGCGTTAGCTGACGCCGCCAATCCCTCGCTTTTCGTCAAGATCCTCATTATTGAGATCTTCGCCTCCGCCATTGGCCTATTCGGTGTTATTGTCTCCATCCTTCAGGTGTGTCCCTTGCACTGTATAATCTATCCTGATTTATCTCAGCAAGGTTGTGAGAATTTATTTGGCCACGTGTCTTCTTTGAAGTATTAATGGGATTGATCAGTCATACCTCCTATTTCACGTATTTTCTACAAGATCTTCAAAATTTGCCTTCATTGGGGCTTGTCTTGTGTCTAGCTCTTGATCGTTTTGTAAAGTAATCATTCATCCAGACGTACTTTTGCATTTTTTAGTATTTTCATGCGAGTATCACTATGCGCTCAGACTTAAACATCCTGTCAGTCATCTCTTGCCCCTTTGTTTATGTCGGACCACTTAGTATGCCTGGAAAGCAATTCCTTTGAGTTTTGGTCGGCTTACTCGCTTTCCCAATCGGTAGCTTGCGCGCTAATTTCACCATGACACGAAGATCAAGCGGACTATCAACGTACCCTACATCCCCTACTGCTTATCCGCAGTTATTCTTCACAGATTGTAGGAAACGCGGATTTTCAACACATCGAGTAGGCCTGTGTATACTGCGACTCCTCATGCAGCAGTGTTCCGTAATTTCTTGGTAAGATGTAGTATTCTCAAAATCTGTGTAGTCACCAGGCTGGGTTAATCCTGGGTCAGTCATTTTCTCAAATCCATTGATGACTACTTATCCCAGCCGGAGAGCACGCTGTGGCAGTGCCATCCGTGACCGTTTTCTCATGATCCTTGGGAAGTAAGCGTAGAAAAGTCTTACAGCCGATGGTTTGAATGTGCGTGATGGTTTTTAAGTGGCTTCTCATTGCGTACAGGTCACTTGTTTCCATCACCTGCCGTGGGTGGTTGTGTAAAGCTCTTTGTGTGAGTGGAGGCCACTTAATTGCCCAGACCTAGTGCAATAAATTACTCTTCCCGATCTGACTTTTAAGAGCGTATTTCTTTCTCCCTCCCATAGACTTCTCGAATTCGAATGGGCAACAAGGCAGCATAGACTGGCGAAATGATGATCCTCGTCTTCATGCGGCGCATGGTTCTGGTACTGTCAGCCAAACCGTAGATTCCCGTCTGTGTTGTCCCTGTCTACTTCTTCTCGCCTACCTTCCAGTGCATAATACGAACATTCCAACATTCACACACATGCATGCAGCTTTCGCGTCGACTTCTTTTGTTACTAATGTTATCTCTCTCCCTTTTAGTCGTGTCTCGGCTGTGCTTTGTTGGTTTTGTGAGGAGACGGGCTTGTGTTCTCTTAGTGCGGGGTTAAGGTTTCCATGAGTTGAGCGGTCGCAGTGAGGGTCTTGTTTGGTGCTCTTCGACTCGGATACTAGGTAACACTCAGGAAGCCACGGGGATTATGTGCTCAGCCGGCAGCCCTGAGTGGATTCGCCATCGGGTTTGCTATTGGACTGGCGTTTGGATCACCCCCGAGTTGGAAGTGTGCAAGTAAGGTGGTGTTAGATAGCAGAGCCTCAAACATAGTATTCAACTACTTCTTTTTTCGCCAATTAATTTAAGAATAAAGAAAAATGCGAATTAAAGAGTCAAATATAAAGAAAAAAATTTCCAAACTATATGAGAATTTTAAATAAAACTTGTTGAGGCTTCAAAGTACCCAAAAATGGAACAATGATGTCTTTTTAAGACGATCATTTTGTTTTTATCAATTGCATACTCAGTTACTCTTCGAACTCGAAGGTCGGTAAGCTTCTCAGGCAACGACGATGGGTACTGGGAAACAATCATGTGTTTGGGACTCCCATATTACCCATTATAGCAAAGACACAGCAGATTTTTTAAAAAGTATGACAGCTTTTATGTTTGAAAACATCTCTAGCTCTGATAAACGATTCTAAACTGGCCAATAAATTTCGTTGTGAAATTAGGGACAAATTAACAAGTAAGGTGGCTCTACCTCTCTGCATGGTGCTCTAGAGGGCCAACCTTTGCCGTCCACCTTTAAAGACTCTGTGAAATCGGAAACCCAAAACTGCGCTCAATCGAATAAGTAACATAAAATGTGGTGTTTTATTTGTTCCAATTTAGGAGACCCACTCTCGGCGCCTTGAGAACTCGCGATGAGATTATCGCCAGCGGCGCATACGAAATACCAAAACCCCGTCTCGCCAAAGGTTAATAGTAGTTTTAGCCTGCTTTCTGAAACCACAACTCGGCATGAATTCTTGCCTTTGAGATTATTCATGACATTCTCAGAATTTAAAAGTCGTGAAGAAGAAAAAGAACGCCTAGCGTCTATCTTCGCCTATGGAGAGGACCTCAAGATTGAGAAGACCCGGTCCGCCAGAACTGCGGAAGAGAAGTCAGCTTGCATCAGTCGTTTTGATGAGTGTAAGCACCTCCTTTACAACTCCTAAAACCACCTCCGATTAGTATTCGATGAGCTACGAGATCGTCAGACCTTCCTTGAGGAGATGCGGAGGCTGGGCAAGGCCGCCGACTACAAGACCCAAATTCAATCAGAGATCTCCCAAATTGTTCATGAAATGGAGGAGATCGATAAACGCGAGAATGCAGCGCTTGCCCAGCTTCAACAGAAGGATCACTTACGTCTTTATCAACGTCAAACAGATGCCAACTGAAATCGCAAATTTTTATCTTTTGTGATGTCTTGCTGGCGACAAAGTAAGCTGTAATTAAGAAGAACGAGGCAGGCAGGCAGGCAGTCGGATGGAAGTCAATACATGTTATTGGCGTTGCAAGTCAAAGCCATTGTCAAACCAGGGGGCAGAGGGGGGAAGAGGAGGAGGAGGAGGAGGAATAATAGACTACTTGAGAAGGGCTCGAACCTCCTTGTGCACATGACAGAGATATTCCACGTAGGTGGCATTTCCACAGTCGTCACGATCCTCATACATGAGGCGGCGAATCCAGGCCTCGGATAGTTCGTTCTGACGAATAACGCGTAACTGAAAAGGGCAAAAACAACTACCTAAGGCGTCTAATAGCAGACCAATGTGCTACTAACTCAATACAAGTAGTGTGCACATTTCCTATTCCCCGTGCAATTAGATGCATGAATTACGATGCAACTGACATCGATATGGACGGAATTACGTTTCGAATGGAACGCAACACTCAAGGTCAAGATTACAACAAGCCGATATTCAGATCCTACCGTCAATGACCCTACTAACGGCATGGCCATTTCAGCAACATGAGATACAACCGGTGCTACTCATTCCCAAAATTAGTAGCACAGCTGAGATCAGAAGGACAAACAAGGGGCAAGAGGGGGAGAAGAGGCTTACCCGAGGAAAGTGGGTGAACTGAGAAAGCACTGGAAGCACCAGACGGCAAATGCACTTTGAGAGGGGATTGTCCAACTCGGTTAAAGTAGCCTATAAAAGAGGTAGAGGGTAGATTCCGTTAAAAGTTTAGATTCAGACACCGAAAAAGAGGGTGCTTCTAATCTCGTCCCTCCCGATACTTGACGGGAAGTAATCCACTCGGTGTCCAAGTCCAACACGGATTTTCAATTTAGGAGACATTCGATAGAAAGGCGGACTACTGTGGTGAGATCACAACCAATTGTCGGTTCCCACTGTGTCGGAATCAGTCGGAAAGGGTGGAAAAAGGACTCACCTTTTCAGGTTGTAGCACGTGGACATCGGTGACACCGAATACCCGCTGAATCCACATAGGATTCACCTGGAGACCGCACCATAGAAAGGCGTAAACGCCGTTCTCGACGAAGTAAACACCTTCCGGATCAAGACGCTCGTATGAGCAGCGGATCGGTGTGGGCAACTCATTGCCAGCCGTTTCTGGAACTACCTCGTGCTAAAGACAGAGTTGAAGGAATCAGTGGAAATAACTATTCTCAATTGAATGCAAAAACGACCCGAAAAAAGCTGACTTACAAGAGGGTAAACTCGTGGATAAACAAAGTTGTTCGTCGCCTTGGGACTCATTGAGTTCAGCAGGAAGAGGAGGTAGGCACGATCATCGATGGAGGTGTTCTTTGCTACACGATGAAACCAGGTGAAAATATTTTCTCGCATCGTGACAATCATTCCAGCACCTACCATCTATTAAAGTAACGGTTCACTCAACCGTTGAACGAGTTAAACAGGTTAAACAACCTACCTGATTTGATGGCATCCGTCTTGATCAGACACTGAGCGTAGAGTGGCATCAGTTTGATGGTCTCGGGCAGCACCAGTTCACCGGGACTGGCGCCAACGCCGCCCGGGCCACCGCCACTCGAATTGGTGCACAGGTGGCGGTAGCCAGCGAGTGCCGTAGCCACCGCGGCAGTGACCTCAGTCAGAGCGGTGGAGGGAGTGCGACTGACGGGGGCGTGTTGCACCGCCAGACGCGCGTGCCACGTGAGAAGGGTGTCGAGATCAGCGAGACGGAAAATATCCGCAGGCGTTGACGAGGTGGCCAGGGAGAGGTTGTGAATGCGCAAGCGACGGTGACCGCCTACGGAGGTGTAAAGCACTGCCACCTAAAGCAATGCAAAGATGAGAAGTTGAGCTTAAATAGGTCGAAAAGTGAAGAGGAGCGCCAAATAGCCAATTTCAAGTTGGAGGGATCAACTCACCTGAATGAAGACGAAGTCATTCTCACTCAGTTTATCATCATACTTGATCTCACATACCACCGTCTGGTTAGCATCCAAAGTCGCAAACTCTACATCTGTTGCGTTGGGCAAATTAATATTGCCCAGCGTTTCAAAGGGTCGCGTTCCCGTGCTGGTGCGAACTCGCATAACAGCATTGAAGGCTTCCGGCAATCCCACAGCATTTCGCAGATCTGCAATAAACTGATCACCTTGCAGATCGGCCTGGAAGTATGAGTATTTGAAGAGGTTGCCCGAAGTGAGCTTGGGCACCTCACTGATGGTGGCGACATCGATAAAAGAGTTGGGGAAAAGAAAGAGATCAACACTAGCGCCTGCCTCCACGCATTCCTTTCCCAGTTTGGTGTAGTAGTCGGTGGCCGGCTGAAGCAGAGTCTTCTCCTTATCCGTCCCAATAAGATGTCTATCCTCCCTGAATTTCAGCTTTCCCGGTGCATCAGCAGTAGGCAGCGACGAATGCATGATGAAGAGTTTTCCGCACCGATTCGCAGCTTTTAGAACTTCCAGACCAGCCTGCACCGCAGGCCCGAGGATCGGTTCCGGTGTTGGGAGATTGGCGCTGGCTGCAGCGTTCTGCAGCTGCGCAAACTGACCCGGAATAGTGCTAAGCAGATGAGTCAGGGCAGCTGCATTGGGTTCCACTAAAAAGCCCTCCAGAGAAGGGACGAAAACTTCCACAGTGTCTGCAACCACATTCATGTGCGCCTTTAGTAGAGCCGTTGAATTGGTATCTGTCGGGTTGACCCGAACGAAGTTGTAGAAGTGTAACTGACTATCGTAAGTGATGAAACCGATAGAGATTGGTGTTGAGCTGCTTTCCGTCACTGTGCCGGTAGCTATATCTTGCTTGTCTCTAGAAGGGAAGTAGATCGCGGATTATCACCCAAACATTCATCGACTCAGACATGAGATAAAGTAAAAACTCTCCTTAATACTCCAAGAGTGATTTCGCAGTGACTATACTTCAGATTCTAATGCCGAAGCAGGTTGATATACTGCGGCTTTAAACGTCAAAACGGTTTCTGCTTGCGAAATCTCAAAAAATATAAAAACAGTAAATGAGTCGATTTCCGTTACCTACTTAAATGCAGATGAGTAGTATTTTTAAGCGAAAAAGCTACCTCGGCAGGTGTGGTAGAATGTCGGTGATGAATCGGGAGCAGAAGAGATTGACCAATCCCGATCTCACTGAGGCAGCTGACACATCCAACAGGAAGATGTAGACTGGCGGTAAAGGCAGTGTGTTGTCACGACAGTACTCCGCTGTGGCAACCACCTCGTAGGAGCCGAGGCAAAGTTCGGGGCGTTGAAAGGCGTCAATTCGACGACCTGTGTGATCCAAGTGAGCAAAGTATTCCTGCGCTACTGTTGTGGACGCTCCGCAGAGGCTGCACTGGAAACGACGTCCTCCGTCAATGAACACGAAGAAGGGGCACATGTAGGCCTTGCATCGGGCGCAACGGACAGGACCCTAGAGGGCAGAAAAAGCTTTCTCAGTCCCCCAAGAGTGAGACGCTATGTTGGTGACAATGAGCTATGCTTCGAAGAACACCTAGACGACCCAACTCGGATTACCAAACTCTTCAAGTTATTTGTGAACTTTCAAAAGTGCCTTCTGAATGAGGAACAATGCCTGTCAACCAAAAGACCAGATAACAGATTAATTATGCTTGTAGTGATCCCTCAAAATACAAATTCTTACTCGACATTCCCTGCATATGAGTCGATTCTACTCATCAAGCCCCTAAAACACGATCTACTCCAACCTTTCAACGACTAAATCTCAAACACTCAATTTGTTCATGAAAAAGGGAGCCGACGTCTCACCTGTGGGCCCATGTCAGTGAGCACGAGGGGTTGGTCGTCTGGATGAAGGTGTGCGAAGGGCTGGATACTGAGGACAAAGGGTAAACCGACCTGTTTTTGCAGATCCGCTGTTGTTGGCACGTTGTAGAGGGATGAGCGTACAAAACGCGGGTTACAATTGCCCTCGTCGCGGCAAACAAAGTCCGTGGTGGAGAGTGGCGGGGCTACGCCTGTCGCACCAGTCTGGAAGACCACTCCTGAGGCGGCACCGCGTTGAGCTCGATCATTCTCAATCACCTGTGGAAGTAGGGAAAAGTAAGAACTCAGCAACGTCGCCTCCACACACAACCTTCCGCCTCTCCTTTGGGGTTAAACCATTAAGGAAACTGGCAAAAGAAACCTTCCTAATCTTTAATTTTGACGTTAGGGGAAAAAGGAGTCTCCCCGATGCAAAATTGACTCTATTTCAAGAGGGCAGCACGATTACAAAGGTGCATTAATCTATTGTAACAACTACGAAAAAATGGAGGATGTAATATACGCTTGGGATACCGCATGAGGGGGGATTAAAGCAATTACTCCGAGCAAAAGCCTAAACATTGCCTGGGGATATTTTGGAGCCACACGAACTGTCAGAACTCGAGACGATCCCACTTAATATGTTTAAATCATCTGGAGAACAGTCTTTAATTTTCCTCAGTAAAAACGCGATCACCATGGCCCACAAGTTATCTTGTCCAAATGAGACAGCAGAATGGACTTAAAGAGTGCCAAAGATCGTGAAGGTATCCTCAGACCAAGAACATCCTCTATCTATTGCATTGTATTAAACTCAGTCATCTGTCGACGACAACTTGGTGAGGCCATAAGATCGTAAAGAATACCTGTCAGAAATCTGTGGAAGCGATTGTGCTATAATCAGCGCAAAAGTAATGAAACCGTGATTATTCAAACCTTTTAGAGAAGAATTAGACTCTCTAGAGATTCAGCTTTCTGCAAGCACATATGCGGTCCACTAGAGAATCGAGTCGGCAGCCCCAGTTACAGCATACAATGCAAGATTGTACATTTACCTCAATAGCATTTGGCATACTATCCGCCATCGCTCGAGCCGACTGCGTTTTCTGGGGCATAGCGGGTTGTGGAGCTGGTGGTGTTGGTGGCATCATTCCCACCGGTGGATAACCGCCCCGATACAACGGCTGTGGTTGTATTGGGGTAGGCTGCACTTGCTGGACATACTGTGGCGCCGGGTACTTAGGCTGTAGAGAAGCCGATGGCGGCATTAGAGGGGAATTAACCATCGTCGGTGGCGACATCGGAGGGGGACTAGCCATCCCCGGCGGCATTGAGTGGGGGTTATTGTTGTACGGCATCGGTTGAGAGTATTTGTTCATCATATATTGCTGGGGTGGTGCCGCATAACTACCGGCATAGGTGTTGTCTGAGTGGCCCAAGTTTAGGGCTCCAACCTGATTTGCTAGGACGGCGTCATCTATGTTTTGGTAGGGTACTGAGGGAACGGGCGGACTAGAACAGGGATGAAATTAAGAAGGGATACCTTACCCATTTGTGGAATGACTTTTTGGTAAAAGCGTGGGTTCGGCAGCAGATTGAGGGTACATATAGGCCGGGTAGCTGCTCTGGTTATTTGACTGCAGCTGTGGTTGCTGCTGCATGGGTTGCATTGGGGGAAGCATCTAAACAATGAGGCGGGTAACAGGTCCAATAACATAGAACAATAGACAATTTTAAACGATTGGGTGGAAAAACAATTCAGATAAAAGAAATTTAAAAAATCGATACTAAGGATGATGAGCCGTTGCAATATTGACAAAATAATCTTAGCCAATATGACAAGAATACCATTTGCCCCAAAGTTGGGAAAAGGTGCAGTACAAGCTTAAAAAACTCATCAGCTACAGAACACTTACAACGGAGTGTATTTTGCACCCTATGTATAAAAGGAAAAAAACAAAAACAGCAATTAAAGTGATGACGTAGAAGCACACATAACTAACTAATGTGGAGAAAGACGCCTCTAGAGACCTAATAAAAGGCTCCCCCAACGGGAAAATGAATGTCAAAGACAGAACAAATAAGGAACGGATTAAAGTACAAATAATGAAATTACCGATATGACGGAAATAAGACACACCTCCGCTTGACGTAAATTTTTGTTGAATGAAGTGACTTTCGGCGCGACCTATTACTAGACAATTAAAAGAACACGTTGGTAAGTTTTTTCCAAAGAAAAAGCCAATTTTAAAGGTTAAAATTACGCAATCGCACTAGATATCTATTTCACTTCCTTTGCTTGGGCGAAATAGTTGGTCCGATTATTGCATGAAATATTTGTGCCATAACAGCTTCGAACGAATAGTGTATCTACTTAGATGCATGTTTATTTCAAGGCTACAACTCTAAATAGACTCCACTAATGATGCCCCTTTTAGGGTGGATTACTTGTTTGAGAGGCGTGCGAAACATATTGGGAGTTTTAAAATTAACTTTATCAAGCCGAAACGTAATATTACAGTTAGCCTACCCTAAACACAAAATATTTTTAAAGTTTTTAGGGCACATTTTATAATGGCTCAGTTGGCATGTTTATGGTTCACATCGTTATCCTTCAATGCTGGTTATGAACAATCTGCGGCGCACCGAAACTTTCCTTGTGACGAAAGAAGAGTTTATGCAACGCTGCAAAGCATTAGCTATCTGTCTAGCTTCACAGTTTAGCTACAGTCAACTTAGAGGCGCCGCCTTTGTATCCTCGCTGGACCGCCTGGCCATCGGATCATGCCATTGACCCCAAGGTCTTCCGTATGTCAGTATTGTATTTTCAGCCCCAATATTAGTTCTTTTCTCGTATTTGGAAAAGTCTTAATACGTTAAAACATATTAGGGTATCATGGTCATAGAGATGGGCTGGGCAACATTGGGATATCTGGGGGAACATACCGCCCAATATAATTTCAATGGCTTAGGTTCTAGCGTCCAGAGAGACTTTAACGAATCAAATGGCTGAATTATTGCACAGCACCGGCAAAAAAACTGAATTGTGTCAAAATCACTTTCCAGGTTGAAGCACTAATATATGCTATCTAGGAGAGAATTTACACCAATAATCAAAAAGTAAGTTAGTAGGCCGGAAATGTGATTCGCCAGCTCCAAACAATGGTTTTTAAATATTTTTACAAATCATAACTGGCCAGGATACTAACAAACACGTTTTTTAACTACTAGAAGGACTGAAGTCCATCAATATGGTCCGGGAGCCCACTACAAATCGATTGGACAACCCATGAAGGCTCATTGACCTTCACTGTTAAAAAATTTACAACTCATAACATTTGCAGCCAAGGAAATTTCTGTGTAAAAGTTATAAAACAAACCAGTTTTACAATTGTAGTACGCTGGCTGTGTGCTAAACTACCCTTTTTGGGACTGCACCTCCGCACCTTCGCCGGACTGCCTGGCATACAGTCAATCCTAGTAGACTTAAACAATAACGTAAACCATCACCACGTATTCTGTTTGAGTACTATGTCCTGTTTTATGCATTGGAAAGATTCGGAGCACTACACCGATAAGAATTAAAAGGGGGTCCGGTTTCTAAAGAATATCAACCTTGATTTGCATTAGCACGGTAGTGTAAGTGCGTGCTGCGGATGGGAAAATCAATGACACATCTTAACGGGGGAGCTGAAAATGATGCCTGCCAAAGGCATTTACCTGGTTTTCTCTTCCACAGAAAAGCTATTAACAGCTAATGCAACACTAGCTATGATCGTAAACCATCTGCAAAAGTTTATATTGTATTCGTATAAGGATGCCAATTAGGTGGGCGCATGATACCTCTTTCACTTCCCTGCTAGTTGCATAGGACGATACCAGATGTGGTTAAGCAGCTCTGGACTGAAAACAAAAAGGCAAGGAGGAATATGTGCAAAACTCTGCCACCACGAAACTGTGTTCAATTCAGTCCTTTTTTATGGGACTCAACTTTTAGTCCAACACTTCTGCAGGTCCAAGTATTATGTCTTTTTTGTCTTTAGGGAAAACTAATTGAGCTACTGTTTTGGATTGTTATAGCTCGTTATAACTTTAAAAACAAATTTGAAATGCTTAAAGGGATTTGCCAAAATTATACCCTTGTTAATTTGGTAATTACACAAAAAGTGTTCGATCAGCGTTATCTTCTTTAAGTACATTGTTATGGAATTTGTCACGCAGCTACAGAACTATTTGAATTGAGTTGTTTGCTGAACGTTATCAGGTCATATATGCCTCAATGGGTACTATCCTGTGTCCCTGGGTCTATACTGAGACCGCAACAGAACATGACAAAGTTAAGGCTAATAACATTAAATTTGAATGCTATAAGGTAGGCTATCAACAAATTTCGTAGTAAAAGCAGAATGCCTTAATGGGTATTTTTCGGCTACTCATAATCGCCTTAATCTCAAAGAAGATTAAGCCAATGAAGCTATCCTACAATTTATTTAAATCATGTTTTAAAAAACTTTAGTAACCTTTGAAACAAAACCAAAGGCTTGAATTAGCAGTGGAAGTTTCATTTATTTACCTAATCGCATGGCTGTAACTTCATTTTTGGAAGCTAATAAGCTTCTTTGGCACAAATACTCTTAGTTACGATTTAGCTAACTTAGCACGTCATTATAATTTGCTAGAAAATGTTTAATGTTTTAATGCTTCAAATGCGCAAAGGAGTTTTTCCTGCCTTTGTTGCTCCATATGAAAGCCTTGGCTCTTCTGGTCTCGTACCGATGACGGGCTCCTCATTCAGTTATCAGTTCCGTTTTATTTTAATCGGTGATAGTACTGTCGGGAAATCGTCCCTCCTTCAGTACTTTTGCGAGGGTAAACTATCCTCCTTAGCTGAGCCCACTGTGGGTGTTGATTTCTCCACACGTAATGTAGTGCTTTCCAATGGTATAGTGATTAAGCTTCGCCTCTGGGATACGGCTGGTCAGGAGAAGTTTAAGTAATTTGAAATTTTTTTCGCTCCACTACTCGAAATTTTCAGATCAATCGCTCGATCATACTACCGCAATGCTGTGGGTGCTCTCTTGATTTTTGACATCACCAATCGCACCTCATTTGAACACATTATGGGTTGGTACGAGGACGCTGCAACTAACATGAAATGTCAATCCCCCATGTTCCTTCTCTGTGGACAAAAGTCAGATCTGGAGAGCCATCGAGAGGTGGGCTGAGTTCATTTTATCTTGGTCATTTCCTTAGGTGGCAAGGTCGGAAGCAGAGGCTCTGGCTCAGAGTCTTGGAATTCCCTATATTGAAACCTCAGCTTTGCAAGGTCACAACGTTGAAGTGGCGTTCAAATCCCTCACGGAAGCCGTCTATCAACAGATGCAGGCCGGGGCGTTTAGGAATGTAAGTTCCTGTATTCATCTTGAATTTAGTTCAACTTGGGGATTTTTAACTTACCACGAAAGCACAATAGCTCTTGTGAATAACCGTGCCTGTTTTTTTCTCTGACGTCTTAATAATGTGTTGGTATAGTCTATTTCTTATTCACCGCCATGAAGGAATAAAGCGTAATCCTTCAGATTCTTCGTCCTTTAAGTCATTTTTTATTTATAGATTCCTTATGTCACCAATTTGGAAGTCAGAGCAATTTGCTCCCTCCTTCATTACTCTCTCAGTTCTTGCGGTTTGTTTCGGTACCTCATGCCCCCCTCTTGGAGTAGTTATCCGTTATTCCATTCTGAAGGCTCACCGGTTGGCTCTCACAGTTTCCCTTCGCCATTGTAACTTAATAAAAGTTCCGTTTAATCCATTTATGCCCCAATATTGTTATTTCTTCCATTATTGGCTCATTTAGTTCCCCAAAAGCGTCTCTATCTGCCGTTTTTGACATGTCATATGGAGGTTGTGAAAATCCCGGTCTTTTGTAACCGCTAGACGTTCATCCTTCTTGGTTTCATCTACCACTTCACCTAGTCTATAGATTTGGCCTTTGAAATAAGACCGTGCCTTAAAATTTGTATAATCTCATCTCCAATTTCCCCCGTTTAACTACGCGGTTCTAACATTGAGAGCGCATCATTGTGACCTTGCACTTTTTTCTTGAATCAACCTGACTTTACAGCTCTGAAGTGTTTCCCCTCCTTGCTTGTGCTTGAATGAATTCATCAACTTTTCATCATTCATCACTTTGCCACTTAAAGCAGTTAGCTTTCATTTTGTGGTTGGCGTCATGTAGTTGAAAGCGCCTGATTTTCCACTCCTTTTCCGTGAGCAGTGCGCATTTCTTTAGCTGCCGTCTCAAGAATACTTTCTTATCTTCGTTGTTCTCTGCGTGGCCACCTAATTCACCTTTCCATCGATCATTTTGAGGTGACGGGATCTCACACCCCACCAGGAATATTGGTCGACCCTACTCCGGGTCATACACACCAGTTTACCTTGTAGCTGGGATCATGCTCACCGCTCGTGGTCATCGGTACTGCTCCAACCGTTCCTAGTGGAAGACGGTGATGACAAAGGGCGCATACACTGTGATTTGCCTTCCCCTTGTAGCTGGGAACTGTGAGCGGATGGGATGGTATCAAGGAGGGCTACGATATGCCTACCCAAGCGAGCAGAACACGAGTAACGCTGGTTGACGACAGACCGCCTTCATCGTCATGCTGCTAGGCCGCGTTCAACTCCGCCTCAATTACCTCTCCTGGCATTGAGTTGTCTGCCGGAAATTGTCACTTGTAAATTTGTTCCTGCTTGCTCTTTCCATCTGCTTTCATCTCTTTTCTCATTTTAGTCTTTCATGCACCTGAAAGCACAATTATTATTTACTCTTCAAAAAAGACTTGCTGATTATGAATGGCAGTGATCTGTGATTCCAGCTAATGTCATTGTTGATGGTATCGGTGCCACTTTCTCCACCGCGGTTGGGAGAAAGTTTGAACTTTAAAAGTACTTTTTTCTTCTTCCCCTCCCCACTTGTGCTGTTGCCAAAAGTGAGGCCGTAGCAGTTCGTGTCATTGTCTCGACTAAAGATTGGTCAGAGAGCGTTCTACTGCCACTCTTTAAGTAGCGATTAGGTCTTGTCGTTGGAAGGGCCTTCCATTGGGTTAGCTCCTATGGTCCTGGGGAGGGTCTTCGTCGCGGGTCTCATAGGAAGGCTGAGAGACTAGCAGAGGCAGTTTGCATCACGCCTGGAACCGTCAGATGCATTCCCACTAACTGCATCCTTCGTTGACGTTTCGTTCCGCTGAGAAGGCAAATTGTTGACGAAAAGCAGCGGGAAGCTCTAGTTTATCCATCCAGCCGTTCCGCCCTACACAAAATCTCTCTAAAGGACCAGGAACTTGTGAATTGCCGGTCAAAACCGGAAGGTGCGGCTACGATGATGTGGATTTACCTAGGACTGGGAAATCTAGCCTTTGTGTGATATTAAAACGTCTGGCAGGTGAATGATGGTAACAGTGACTCCGTCAGACAGCCACTATCTGCTTCTGCTCTGACGTTGACAACCAGCGCCCCGTTAAGTGTCACCGTGTCACCTCGGCTCTACTTTGCAGGCGGTATGTGATTATCTCCTGTCAACTAAGCCTCCGCTTTGGTCACTGACGTTTCAATTCACAAATAACCGTTTGTTTCAACTGAGACAATGAATGGGAAAGGAGGATAGCCACGAACCTGTCTTCACCTTCCAACCAACTAGAACGCCAGATGATTCGCTACACTCCCGCTTCCGACCTCACGACTTCGTGGTGGTCCAGCCACATCTCACAGTTGCTACCTCCCATGCGAACTGTCAATCGCCACACCATTCACCTTCCGGAAGGATTACCTCCCCTTGACGGTGAATTTAAGCATTGTCTCGAAGAACGACGACGACGACACCAGCAAATGACTTGACAGCATCGCCTTGAAAACGAACGACGATCAAGGGGTGCGAACCAGCACTTGCAAAGGCGGAGCTACGACGTCTCCCAGGCGACGCATTTCAGTTACATCCATCTGCCAGGTGTTGTGCTCCTCATCTTCTAGATGATTACTCACCTCACGTCTCAAAGCAACAGGTAGTTCTTCTTGCAACGCACCTTTCAAGCGGTGGGAATTGAATAACCTACCACATTGGACGACGACATGTCGACCTCAAACCTCGCGGTTGCGCGATGAAGGGCGGTGAATTCCAGGAATTTTCGGACCTAAAAACCACCCCAAGAAAGTTTACCAGATCGTCTCGCTGTACTGCGTCTAGGCTATCCATTCCATTATGCACCTTCACGACCAGCCGATTTTCCATCCTCCACAAGGCAACCAGAGGAGACAATGAACTCCTTGTTCCATATCGACAATCTTAGAGGATGAAAAAACCTGAGGGAGAGTTGAGAACGGAGCCAAAGGTGTCTGTTACATCTCTCCACCATCACCTTGCAGAACATCTGCACAAAACAGCTCCTGGCTTCCAAGTCTTGAAATGCAGAAGTCCCAATAGGAAGCGGATAAAAACACCTCATTTTAAATTGATTACACACACAAAGATGGTAGGCGGTAAGGTAAGGGATCAGTGGAGACGGTTGAAAACCGCTGACTCCGCCTCCATCCCTGTTCATCGACGCAATGGCGTGCGTCGGCGGTAGTTTGACTGGGGCGACGGTGGAGGTGGGTGTCGCGAATCAGCTGCAGTAGCGGCGGTGGTGGTGGAGGCAGCAAAAGAGGACCCTCCAAAACGGGGTGAGGGTGTTCTATTGGCATAACGCGGTCGTCTAGGCGAGGGAGAACGACGTCTTTCGCGGATCACACGCTTGTTCCCTGGCGATGGGGTCTGTTTGAACAGATAAAAAGGGTAGAAGCCATTTCTGAAATCGCTGAGAGTAAGTGGATTCAAAATGCTCTAACCCTTCTACTGGATCGCTCCCAAGTCCTCACTAAGGCCTCCAGAAATGCCATTGACTCACCCTCTCTCGTGGTCTCTTCTCCCTGGCCGAAGCGTTAGGAGGGAGTAAAGGATTCGAGACAGAGTTGGAAGAGGGTCCATTCCCGAATTCTTCGGTAAAGGGGCTCCGATTTTCGCGTCTTCGCTCCTCCACATTGCGTTTGGGCACTGGACGGCGTGTGCTCTCCGCCAAATACGTCTGTTTGCGCGCCTTCAATTGTGCTGCCGCCTAGGGGGTAAGCAAAGTGCGTCACACTTGCCAGGCTCATAATTTTGGATGAACAGCAGACCTAAGTTCAATGGACCCTCAACTAGTTGATATATTCCATGAGGGGTGAATTTAAGACGGTTCTGGGAATTCAAGAGCTCCCAACCTACCGCTTCATCGGTGAGGGGCAGCCAATAGACACTTGGGGTCGCCTCAGTCTTTTTGAAAAGATCGTCCAGCGACTTTGAGGACTCCTCGCCTACAAAGGCAAAGTGGGTTAATACCTCTATCAGGTTGTCACAAGGTCTAGGGTAGGCAGGAAGGACAGAGGTGTACCTCTCGTATCGCGTTTGCCCCGCCCTTCTACCTCCTTCTCCGTCGCCTTCGTTACACCCTCGATACCATGCAACCTACGTCTCTTCGCGCCACCCATGGTCTCGGTGTCGTCCATCGACTTTTCCGGACGTTTTCTTTCCACGCTGCTGTCGTTGGTTTCATCTGTAAGAGCACAAAAAAGAAAAGTTGGGAAAGCGGTTCACTGCATTACACCAATCATTGAAATTTACTCGTGGAAGCAGCACTGGCAGCACTACTGCCGCCGAGGAGATGTCTAGGCGGAGGCTTGTCACCCGCCTCGCCATGTTCTTTGAGCCAAGCGAGGAGGGCTTCTGAGGCGAATTCGCACTGAAGAATGCGCGGGTTGATGGAGGGCCATCGACAACCATCCAGCCCCTCACGACACCTGGAGGAGAAGTCCAAATGAAGTTGCAGAACAGATCTTTCGGGGACGGTTTGTCACGTGGGAACCTCACTCACCTAGTAGCCACCTCCTCGTTGGAGAAACGGGCGACAGCGGTTGACTTGATACGATCGAGCCAGAGCTCAGAGGCACGGCCGAAGTGTGTCTCCAGCATGGTGGACAGTTGAGCGGCGGTGAAGGGACGCACGAGACACCGGATGTAGACAAGGCTCGAGGGAGGACATTTGGCCTCCACTGCAGAGTTCACGCGTTCCGGGGCTTCCACGGTGAAACCGACTGCGCGAGTCTCTGTGAAAAGGAAAAAAAATGGTAATAAACTAACCTCCTTGCTCAGGAATATGCATGAATAATCTAAAATGCCTCCAAATGGAGCAATATGTTGTGTTCATGTTGGAATGGAAGAATAAGTCTTTCACAAATAAGGCTGTAGAAGGATTTATCTTTTCAGGTCCGCAGTACGTGGTTGTATGAAAGGTGATGAGAAAGGGAGAGAGCTAGTCCCTGTCACGAACGGAAACGTAATTATAAGATACTTCGAGATACTCACCCTTCCTCACTGGAGCCGGAACAGAAGGATTAGAAGGCGGCGGAGGGGGAGCCGGTTTTCTGAAGGCGGAGTTTTCACCATCACTACCTTCCGGGGGGGAAGTTTTGGGGGTCGCATTTACCGCAATTACAAGCTTTTCCACCCCTTCCTCCTTTCGGGTGTTTTCCACTTTCTCCTCCTCTTCCTCATCCCCGTAGTCCTCCTCTTCCTCGTGCAGTTGAACACTGACTTCAACAATTGGTGGTGAATTTCCACGAGTGTGGTCTTGGGCTATCGGAGACTTCGTGATCTCAGATTGTGGAGCTGCAACTTCCGTTTGAATTGGAGGTTCCACCTTCTCCTGGGTTGGCATCTGATAGAGGAAATGGGAAAAATGGGATTAGGCGGCGGTTCGAATTAGAAACTATCAATTACCTCATGAGGATTAACAGCAGTGAGGAAGCTGCAGATGCCGTTACGGTTCACGGGAAGGGATCAGTAATTCCTATCATATTCGATTCATACCGAGCTATTGAATTGCTAACGGAATAAGTTGCAGAGAATTTAACAAACATTGACATCTTAGGAAAACCGGCTTCCGAAGAAAATATTAATAAAAACGGGAAGGGAAATGCTGTATATATCGGGAGTTCACCTTTCAAGGCATTTCTAGGGCTCAGGATAAGTGAAAGAGTTAATGGGAAAGACTGGTTCAAGTACCTTGATTGCCTGTTCAACCTGATCGACCTTCTCTGGAGAACGGGCTGCATCATCGACTGAGGCTTTCGATTCACTGACGCCCCCAATGTTTCCCACCAATTCTTCCGCTTTTAGAGAAAATACTTTGTCACCAAATGCGAGAGTAGTTTTTAGATATAGAGTGGGGATCAGCTTACTCGGATTAGTATCGGGTTCTAAAGGTGGCTCTAAATATAAAAAGACTTGGTCCGACATAAAATTAATTGTCTACACGGTTCAAAGAAGTAATAACCTCACCCTGGTCCGTATCAGATTCCGATGGTTGATCTGGCAACAAAAAACAGGAAAGTACAGTAGCGTATGGGTATTTTAGGAATAAATGAAAATGGTAGTAGTTTACCCGACTTTGCATCAAATTTATAAGATTCCTTTTCACTTTCTACCTCACTGGAGCCCTAAATCCAAAGAATTAACACTCAAGGGATGCATAGACGATGAGAAACGATGAACACCCAGTTGGGAACAACGAGTAGCATACCATTTCATCTGGGACCCTAAAACAGAGGAAGGTGGGCATTTAAAATCTGAAGAACAGAAAAGTCAATTAGTAGGACACTGTTAGGTTACTTCTCGCCGAGTTCCACTTCTGACGAAGGCTGAGAAGTTACAGAATCTGAGAGCGCCTATGGAAAATAAACAAACGAGGATTGATAATCAGACAGCACTTATAAAAGAAAATACAACCACAAAAGTATGTTACCGCTGAAAGACGTCGCACGAGATCCTTTTTAAGCCCATTTTTATCCAAACCAAGAACTTCCAGTTCCTTCTTAAGCTCCACAACTTTCAACGAGTCAACTAGTCGGCCGTCAGGCAAAGTAACATTCCCTGACATTACCAAATATTTCTAACTGAAGCAAAATTGCTAAAAAGACGGTTGAATAAAGTCAATAATCTCCAATAGAGATTAAAGTGCGTAAATAGTGCCTGGAGCATCCCATAAGCGAAATAGAACACATTCACACACATATTCAAATTGCCAATAAAAGGTATTCATAGAACAATACTTCAACTAGGAGTTTAAAAGGTACGACATCTTTTATTTAAGACGCAAAAATGAATGAAGCACTTTGTCCTACACACGCAACAATTAAGCGAAATGAAGAAACAGGAAGGTTCAAAGAACGCCGCTTGTCAAGCACAAATTAAAACGAAGGCCGAGAATATTTTCGCCTTTATGGTAGAAGCACGTTTCAACATTTGTTGCAAATTTTGTTTGTTGTATTAAATACTACTTTTTTTAGATCAGCTCTAAATAATCAAATTTAATGTACATCTACAGGAGGCGTATATGTAACATGATTATTTTCTGCTGCTTGTTCTTAAAATAGCTTACAGGAATTGCTAATATGGTCGCAGTAATAGAAGATATATAGGTTTTTATATATATGTTTTTTTAAGTCATGACAAGCCAATGTACAATCAAATGACAGATGTTACTAACTTGGAAAACCGCTATGCTACCATCACCATATCCTGGTTGTCATGCTGTTGAGCAAATTTACAGCCTGTGTAGACAAAAGTGCCTGGGTTGCCAAACTTCCTCTTAAGCACAATGCCTGATCGCAAAATTTTTGGCAATGAGCTTACACAAAGACCCATTTCTCAGCTTACTCGCCGTGTTTTGTGATATTTATTTATTGCTTTCGGCAAAACACAAGCCACTATCTCTTATCACTAGTTAGGCATTCCATTACTGCTACTTCCTTATCCCCCATCTTCGCCCCACTAAGTGGTTTATCATTTTTGGGCAGAGATACTTTTAGGCACCCCAATTTTTTAAAGTGGTGCGAATTTTATTTGCAGCGATGGAAACGCATAATGTTTGCGACTAGAGCGGCTGGGAGGCTAAGAACATGACGCATGGAGGAAATACACACACTGTTGTGCTTTACCACGCACCTAACCTCTTCAACAAAAAGATGCTCTTACAGAATTCTTTGCAGCATGAGTGGTCTTATACCAGACGCGCAGTCCCCGTACCCTACGGATATTCCAAAGCGAGGGAAGGGTAACATTCGTGTTAGCTAAGCCGCAAATAATAATCTTAAAGTAAAGTACACCTTTCCACTTGTTCCGAACAAAGCATTTCACTTCGTTACACTTTACTTAAGTCTCGTTTTCGAAATGGTAAATCAGTTCGAAAGCCCATCCAGTAAAAGATGAGGGGTTACAGGCTTAGGTGGCATGGTCAAAACTGAGTTAGGTAGACAGGCTTAGTCGGAGAAGAATGATCATGAAGACGCAACAAATACAACAAAAATAAAAGGGGGCGTGCGAAAAAGTACCGGAACCGAAAGTTTGGGAAAGAGTTTAAGTTAAAACCAAGGGGGGAGGCAAAGTAAAATAAAGGGGTGAGTAAATCAACCCCATTCCCTTCTCTTTCGCAAGCTAATGACTCTATTACAGTTACATGGAGACACTCCAAACAATAGCGTGCGCACCAGGAGAGCTCTGAAAGCGTTGATTCACCGCTGAAATTGTTCACACTTACTTTATTACTGATAAAGAAATGAGTGCATTTGCTCTTTAGCATATTTCTACGGATATAAAACTCGCATTTTTATTCATTTAACATAAGCTGATCTGATTGGCAAGCAAAATAGTTCTCTATGCTCGATAAGTTTAGATGCTGTGCCAAACTCCTTAAAACATTTAAGTGGTATGATGACGGCTTTAAAGTTCACTGATACGCTACTTGTTGAAAATAAGTAGACACACCAGTAACGAGAGGAGATTTAGTAGTGCAAACTCGAGGGGTGAGTGAAGAGGTCTGCAAATACGCATAGTCGTGACCCACGGCAACCACCAGGAACGACGCCTGATTTGTTGACGTGGTGGCGTCCTTCTCCTTTCCCTCCACCTGATCTACAAGACACAATTGGATGTGGGTTCAATTGGAATAACAGGAACGCCTCGATGAAAGGGTTACTCGGGTCCGTACTTCGGATGGCTAACAGTGCGGAGATGGGGCGCCTATAGCCATGACAGCTGAGGGATATGGCGTCCTGGCTAAGCACCTCTGTTGGTGAACCGTCTGCTGCATCTGAGAAAGGAGACAGTTTAACACATCATGGCCTTTATTAACACAGAAATGTGGAAAATATCTTGGGCACCAAACTGATTGCCGTAAGATGGAAAATACACGACACCTTTTACTGTTACTAAGATTCAGGCTGTACTTGTCGATCCTTCTAAGGAGACCTCCTGTAAGGATAGATGGGTGGATGGTGGATATGGGATGGTTGGATGAGGATGGACCATGACCAGGAAGGATGAGCTGGGCCCATTTTGAATGGAGAGGTTGATAGGAAACGAATAGAAAGGCTTGGTCGAAGAAGTGTGTGCACACGCACTTACCGTTAAGGAGAAAGGCTATGAAAAAGCGGCCGATGAGACCGCAGCGTGTGGCAAACCAGATGCACTCATTGCCCTGCACAAGGAGACGCGAGACCGTCAGGTCCACTGGATCCAGCACACCGGTTGTGTCTACAACAAGAACGTAGATGCTGTGATCATTATCTACCTTTGGGATGGCAGCTGGATTTCGCTGAGGTTTAAAGAAGCATAAGGCACCTTCATTGCCTTCAAGGGAAATTTCAATGGTGAATCCAGTCAATCAGTGAGACAGGAAAACAGAGGAAAAAAAGGAAACAGACAAGAAGTCAAATAGGCGGACCCACCTATCATGGAGGTAAGGACACTAGTGAGGTCGATTTTATGCAGGAAGATGTGCTTCTCCGCACACACCGAGAGGAGTCGCGAGAGCGGTCCGAGGTACACACCCTCCGCGCCCTCCACACTGCCGCGCTGCTGTATCGTCGGTGTTGGCGGACTTTGGCCTGACACCGCCAGCCAAATTAGCCGCCGAGAAGTTGAAGCCGAGGTCTCAGCCGACGATGTTGCCTCTTCGTCGCCGACAGCGATGGCGTGGAGACAAGGCGTCTGCGAGGGGAGCGCCAGGCTAGGAAAAAAGGAGGGAGGCTGTCTTACACCTAAAGAGTGCAGCACTAGTATCGGCAACTATTCAAAAGTTTAAGAACGTTTCTCGACTTCCACACTCTTCTCATCACCTACTAATAATGACGTGGAGATCCACTTTGTGTGTACTACTGATCACTATAAGGTCAAGGTCACCTTAAATGGATGTCATCCTTGTGCAACCTCGCCAGCAGCATAAAGGACCTCCACATTAAAGCCCCATCTTCAAATTATTCTGCAAAACTCATCCAGACGAGATTCACAAATCCATATTTCCACTGGGAAGATCAAAAACCACCAGACACTCACTGAGCGACAAATGCATCAGCATTGATGTCAAATCGATGCAGAGCACCCCCACCCGCAGTGCCAAGGCAACAGAAGGCGCGTCCAAAGATGGGAGAGATAAGGATAGGTCCGCTGGGAGCCGTGGAATCGCTTGGCAAGCAGAGAGCTGTTGCCCGTAGCACCCGATTCAACTCGATATCGTTGTCAGGCACTGTGCCCGAGTCGAGATGCCACTTTATGGTGACCAATTGGTTGGATCCGGCGGAGTTAAGAACTCCCAGGCAGATACGGTGGTTGAGGGAGCTAAGGAGTGAAAAGGTCATGGTCATCACATTCCACAGAATACCACGAGAATATAGCTTGCTAGACAGGAGGTAAGACCAATCCGCACTATGAATTGCTAGCGCCACTAACTTACACAATTGTAGTGGCTGCTTCACCCGGATTGGCCATTTTGAAGGTGGAGAGGAGGGTCACCCTCCAGGCGTCTTCCTTGGAGATGGCATCAGGATTGCTGGTAGTCGCGCAGACGAGGAAACGACCATCTGAAGCAGCAATCAAAACGCGGTAGTCGTTCAGCGGCTCTGCAATGGAAGGTGACTTCCGCAGTAAGACATAAAGGTTCACTGGGTTTGAATGCATTGCAGTGCAGGTGGACCTCGGAGGTAGATCAAAATAAAAACGAAACCCCCTTTATCGAGATGCCTCCATTCTAGTGTGTCAAATCGACAAAAAAAAAAACAAAATATTCAAACAGCGCGGTGTGGAGACAACTCACCAACTGGTGTTTTAGAGTTGGAAAGAATCCTGAAATCCCGCACCACGAAGCGTCCACTTTTCGCCAGCGGTGAAGAGCTCTCGGCACCTAAAATAAGTCGACCAGGGCAGTAAAAAGGCCTACCAAAAATCGAGACACTTTCGACGTCTACAACCAAAGTAAAAGTGGAGGGAGACGGGATGGATGGATACGGAATTGTCAACAAACAAGCTCAAAGTTTGGCAACGATATCAGCACAGCGTTCCACAGCCCACCTGCCACGGAGAAGAGACCCGCAGAGATGGGTAGAAAGTCGTCATCGAGGTCCATGCTCACCAACGCATCGGTCAGTTGAAGCGGATCAAAGATGTACAATTTGCCGACATTTTTCAGCTTCTTCTTTCCTGACACCGCTTCTGACGCCGCGCCTCGACCAATGAGCCAAAGATGTTGCTAAAAGGCACGGCGTAGAATCTGCATCTGCATTTGATCAGCTTTTCAGGTGGTTCGCGCCATGATGAGTAATAGAGAAACACTTCTTCCGACTTTTGACTTCACGAGACACATCAAAAGGTTTCTAACGTCACTCGTGTCTTGTCAGCTGATCACTTGGGCGATTAAACCGTGGAGTGGGTCGCATATGCGTAGGTGTAAAAATCTCCACTACAACTACCGTTGTAGTGGAGGGAAACCCTCCACCATTGTAATTTTGCCAGTAAACCTCCAAAAAAAAGGTGGCAATAACCACCTCATTAGTGGGTTCCTGTGGATAATGGTCCTCTCAAAATACCGAAAAGAGTTGTATCTCCAACATTTTCATGTCACTGACGTAGCACTGGATGTTTTGTGGAGTCTCTCGGAGCTAAAATACAAGGCAACTTCAAAGACGGCCGTCTTCAATAGTGACCGCGCCTTGGCCCCGTTTGGATCCTTCCCGAAACTCCTGAGGAAAAAACTCGGGAGAGTGTGTAATTGTAGAATGAATCGACGGTGATAGTACCATAGATTCGGTGAATAGACTTACTAGTGAAAGGTATGTATAGTGGAAGTAGGAAAAGCCTTTGACTATTATCACCGAAATAAACGGATTAACCTTTTTAAGTGTCAGATACATGATTACTGGTCGTGATTGCGCAATCCTCTAATCCGTTGAACCAGAGTCTCGACAGCTACTGTAAAAGGTTCCAACCATATCGTCAGGTAGGTACACCTATTCCACTTTAAATAAATCCATCGTCTGTACTACTAAACCCCTTTCATCCGCAAACTGGGGTTTGTGGATGAGAGCGTGGATCTCGGCATGCTCCTATGGGTACGCGAAAGGCCGATGACTACTGAACGAAACTGGACACATTCGACGGTATTGGTCTCGCATAGCTGGAGCATCCGATTCGCCTTGGCCTTATTGTGAGTAGCAGTGGGCTTAAAATCAGCCAATCAAGAGGAATAGGACGAGAGTGCAACATTCTAGAATTCTTGAAAGTGAGTCAATGGAAATTAAAGCTTCTCTAAAATCGAAACAGGAATGTTTTGGGGATTTCGGACATCCCCCAACAAAGCCAAACCAAAGAAAACTAAGCCCCAAAAGCTGATAACTGTTGGATTCTTAGTATTAGATGAAATTTATGCAATATGCAGTTTGGTGCGACAATTAGTCACAAAACTGAAAGAAACACAAAAAGAAGCAAATTCTGCAGCAATTAAACTTGAAAATTATCTCTTTGTGACTAAAAATATTATGTTAGGTCCTCACACAAAAGTGATTGGCTATTTCACCGCCACATCGATTTTCCATTGGGCAGTAATTGACCAATAGGAAAATCGAATCTTACGACCCAAGTTAGCCACTTTGAGTAGCACTTTTGCATAAATTAATCAGATTTCTTTGCGAAAAAAACTTACCGCGCACTTTCCTTCTAGTGGAGCTGCTACTGACAGGGCAGCAGTCAACTAAAATAATAATTAAAATGAGTTGAAATTTGAATTTCTTGAAAAAAAAATCTAGCAGTGCTGACCAAAATAGCAAAACGCACTTCAATTCGTAGCGTGGAGCGTCCAATGCTGCGGCACTTCTTGGGTACAGGATGAGCGACGGGGCTGAAGAGGGAGGTGGGATTCTTGGTCGTGGACAACTCGGCCTTACCCTGTCGCACACGTCCGAACCCACGGATCCAACCAAAGGTGAGCCCAGTGGTCGGAGACTGGTAGATCTTGATCCACTGCTGTGACTGGAAGGTGCGGGAAGCAGCACCGCCACCTGATGTTGTTGCCACTGGCTTAGCATCGGGGCCGTCCTCGTGCCGCCTTTCCAAGTCGTCTCTGCAACAGGAAGGCGTTTGCCTCGAGCAAAGAAAGACTTACACATCGGGGAGAGTCATAGCATCCAACCCGAAGTCCAAGCGAGGAAGAGATATAAGATTCATGCTGAAGTGGAAGGTAGGCGTAACTCAAGGCCTGGCTGTCTTATCTTGAGCCAAGGAGCAAACCGACTCACATCCTAGCAAAAACACTTTTTAACTGATGATGCGGTGAGGCGTTCTGATGCACCTGCACGTCGGTGACAGTGGGTGGCAAGTCATCCAGCAAGTCTGGATGGCCACGCTGGCCCGCTCTAATCATCTCCATGAGTTTGATTGCATCACGTAGCTCGATGAATCGTTCCTTGTAGTAGTTGCGGTCGGTGATGATGCGCATCATCTCCGCCTTGGTGAAGCCCTTGGTGGAGAGCTTTTTGTGGATACAGAGAAAAGCAGAAGGGAGGGGAGATGAGGAAGAAGGAAATTTGTCATCAGTGTACAACCGACACTTCCAACTAATCAAAATTGAGAAAAAGAATGAAGTCTGGGAGATCGCCAATCGGCATTCTCGACAAATTCCGCATAAAAATAAGTCAGCTGAAACCAAACTACAAGTTCGTATATATCTATTCCACAGCAAAACCTGTCCATGAAAAGCCAAAACGAGGTGAACTTTTCACTCACCTCTCGCTTCAATTTCTCCACAGTAGCCTTCAACGACTCTATCTCAGTTCGTGCAGTCGTGAGCATCTGATCTGAGTTGACAAGTTCCTGCTGTAGCATGGTCTGTTTCTCCGTCAGCTGCTTCACCGCCTCCATCAACAGCTGATTATCTCTGAAAACAGGGACAGGAGGTTAGCCATCTATCTGGTCATTGATACGTACACTAATCCATCCATTCATCTACCAAGCTATTCATTCATCCAACAGCCCAACAGTTGTTCCATCCATCCAAATACTCATTCGTCTATTTAAACAATCGTGGATGGATACAAATTGCGTTGACTTACGCCTTCAGGCTATCCCTCTGTAGGAGCAGATCGTCCTTGACAACATTTAGCGCGTTCCTAGATGTGGATAAAGTGTAAGGCAAAGTGGTCAAAAAACCCACTTGGTCTCCATTAGCTCCATGTTCTCCCGAATCAGATTGTTCACCTCGCCCTGCATTCCAGCTGAAAGTGTGAAGGAAAAGGGGTGGAGGAAGAAGGTGAGGAACAACTGTGAAATGTGCACGTGTAGACATGCAAAAGACGTGCGCGTTAGGGTGATTATATTTGGCTATGATTAGTGAAACGTGTCGAGTGCCTTACATAGGATTCCGTCTAAAAATGAATTGCAAACGGAGTTGAGGGTGAAAATAGGTGACTTAGTGCTTTTGACTCCTTGAGACCTACCGAGATCATGGATGGCTTCGGATTCAGAGTTATTACCAACCGCTTGACTCAGATCATCTGGATGCGATTTCATGAAGAAGAAGGGGATGATGATGCGGATGATTGATGGAGCCGATGGCAGTATGCATGCGGAATCGAAGCAATTCAGTATAATCAGCATCATCAACACCAGAATGGGTAGAAGAACCAATCGGCAGTGGGGTGGGGCATGCAAAGAGGAAAATTGTACATGCTTCAATAATGCAAAACGCAGCTAGAGTCTCGACAACATTAAAACCTATTTCCGATGCAATACATTCCAAATTATTGAGGACTAGATTGAAACAATTCGCATTATCCACTTCATTTCGAAGGATTTTTATTCTAAGTGAGTCCTAGCCCAATGTCGAGAAAGAGGATGCGCTAATAAAGGGAAGCGATTAACTGATCTACCAATCAACGACATGTATGCACAACTCGAAACCCCATTGGCTCACCAAATCACCAATCAGGTTAACACCGACACCACATTGGTAGCACAACAGCAAAAAAGTTCAAGGCCAATCGGGGATTAGTGGAGAGAAGAAAATTACCTAGATCCTCATCACCCAGTGCACTGGGGTCGCTCTCGATCATGGAGAGCTCGTCGAAACCGACTCCAGCACTAAAAAGGAGCCGAAAATTGGGAACTCCGCACAAGGGGTATGATAGATTTGGTCGGCATCGAAGGTGTCAGCGCGAGAAGAACTCACCTTGTTGTGTCGAAGGCATTTCCAGGCACTCGTACGATAGCTAGGCAGAGAGAGAAAGGGAGGAAAGGGAATATTGTTGTAAAGGTTATTTTTCTTATCACAAAATACTCCAAAGTCCAAATTACTCAACTTCAATCCCTTGTCAGATGTATTTCAATGGGACCTGTTCAAGCAGGTCTGATAAAACAAGCGAGGCTTCCATAAAACCCCCACCCCCCCCCCCAAAAAAAAGGTAAATCACCCTTGAGCTCACCTGAGTCCCGTCGCTTCATCACTGAGTAGACTGGCATTGCAGCTGACTGTTTCAGGGAATCGTTCAACTCGGCATGCGATCGTAACAGCTCGTTGATTCGCTCGTGGAGTTTGGAGTTCTCCTTCAAAGATTTCTTGCTCCTTCTGTTCCATGCGTGCAACTGCAAGAGAGAGAGAGAGAGAGACAGAGAAAGGACAACCTGCTGATCAAATTCTCCTCTAAATTAACCCACTCTTTGTCATATGAACAGAAAAGTACTTTATGTGAAGCAATTGAAAGTAGTAAAGTACCGCCTCAAAGCCATTTACAAAGTGCCTATCAATGGTAGATCCTCAGTGACAGCAAAAGTTTATCACTTTTAAGCTCATTGGATGGCAAAACCTGCTTAAGCATCCATCCAAGGGTATCACAGGTCAAATGCTAAGCGGTCGTCCCCAAATTATAGTTAGTCTTTATCAGCGGTCGATAACGACGAGCTCGACAACAAATCCAGATGTCACTGGTTTGCTCACATGATCTATTCATTACAGAAAAAAAATGATTTTGGCAACACTGCCCACTGATTTCAAGGCCTGAATGTTGCACGTTTTATGGGAGAACTGCGCAGCAGAATTTAATTTGCTCCTCAATCCCTTTCTCTTGCCTGTGACCACGATAACTCACGCTGTTCCCCGACGTTCTTTGACTTGATTTCAAGGCGTCGAATCTGCGTCTCGTTTTGCGCCAGAGCTTCATTCAAGATCTTGCGTTCACTCTCAAATTGATCCTCCACTCGCATCAGCAGCTGCAAAGGAGGAAAACAGAAGAGGTGTGTAAAAATCCCTTCAATAAGCAATTAGTAGCTCTTGAGCTGTAAGAAAAAATGCTGAAAATTCAGGCTAAAAGGTGTTTTCTTCAGGAAAGGCATTTGCGGTGTTTCGTCTAACCTGCTAGGGTGTGTTAAAGAGCGATGATGACATTTGTGATCCGTATTATTTGCCTTCAGGACATTATGAATTACAGGTTACAAAGAGATTAATAAATAAACGTACTTTTCCAGACCTTAAAAGGTGTCAGGCGATGTTATAGGGGAAACATAACGAGTTGAATTGATGGATGGATGGATACGGGTTGGATGAATGCATTGATGAATGAATGGATGGTCCTAAGATGTATGGACAATTAAATGAACAACGAATTGCGTACAGGTCGAAGCTGACGCAAAAACATCAGATTGGACGGTGGTTGAACAGAAAAGAAGTAAATAAAGGGTCTCGATTCAATAAAACAAATAATTCTGACACTTCAGAAAGTATTTGGTTTGGCCTTGAAACGACGCCCTCCTCCGAGGGTAAGTGACTGGACTAGAAGAAACAGGAAGGAGAACGGACGTACGTCTTCAGTGTCACGGCGAGCAGCCTTTTCCTTGGTCAGTTGGCTGAAGAGGGAAGTGGTTTCCTCACGAAGTTGAATCACCTCCGCCTTGTAAGCGGCATGGTCCTTGTAGAACTCGTCCAACTGCTCCAACACTGCAACCACAGTGGGCAGAAGACGCTGCACGATTGCCGCTCCAGCACCTGAATCCGCCTCACCTGCAGCCAGCACTGCCTCAAATTCGGCGTTGAAGCGATGAGCTATGGCCTGCACTTCTGTCGACAGATCTGTCAGGTCTGCCGTCTCCGCAGACGCGAGGAGACGCAGGTCGCTGTAGCTGCCTCTCTCGTTATCAATTTTGTCCCCTTGTGGTGCCTCCACCACCTCCTCTGCTCGTTCTGTGCTCATAATAATGTTGCTAGCGTAGTAGGCAAAAGACGTTCCCACTAAAAAGAAGGAATAGGGTCGATAGAGAGGAGGTCCTGACTTAGTAAACTAATCCGATGAATACGGGATGGATGGGGGGAGGAGGTAAGAGGAACCGTTAAGGATAGATCCGGCGTAAATGCATGAAGGTGTGACCAAGGCAAAAAATAATGAAGGATATGAGTGATATGATTAGACCGACAGTGTTTAAAGTATCTACCAAGGTGTTGGATTAAGTTGGCATCATATCTTTACGAAAATATACATACCTACAATCTTTTTTGGGTCTAACAAACTTACAAGTAACAAATTGTAACAGATAAGATTCCCAAGGTTTCATAAATAAATCTTCATTAAACCAGTTAGGAAAATCGAAACGTTTTTAGAGAGTAAAAAAACATACTAAACGGCTCGCCGGATGACTTTATGTGACAGTGAGAATATGAAACTTCATTACAAGTTAGACATTACCTAGTCTTCTTTGCTTCTGAAACTTTTGATGATTACGCCTCCTTTACTGTAATTATCGCCTCGGGAAAAGGTAGGTTTTGGAGATTAGATATTTTCTAACTAATCAGGAGATCTTACAACCAATTTACCTTGGAGATCAGATTAACGAGATCTACTTACGTAATCACGGCCGAATTACATGGTGCCAAGTTGAAAAAGAGAAAGGATTTTTACTTTCCTACTTTTTACACACAACCGAATGCAAAGATTTTTCCTCAGAAAATGAATTTTTTTGGTCCAAGGCGCATATCTCACATGTGAACATAATGCGGGACCCTATGAGACGACTATCTTGTGGGCAATAGATCACCAAGTAGAGTGAATGTAGTAGATTCTACCTTGAAGCTCAGTAGACGCACTCACACTTCACAAAAAACATACAATGGAACCCATTAGATATGTATCACTGTACTTAAATTTTCACATAAAATTGGACAAGGCGCAAGAAAAAATACCAATGCTGATACGCGAACGAATAAGTAAGCACTAATAGTACAACAGTAACGGGAAAACAATGCCGTGTGTCACCAGGTGTGGAAAAGAAAACCAGCAAATTTCTGCACTGCATTAAACGTGTGAAGAAAGAAATAATACAAATGCCCTAACACTAGTAAGGCATCCGTTCAAATCGCATTAAAATTACGGTTTGCAAATGGCCAAAACACTTTGTAAACGAGGCGTGACGCCCACAGTCATAATATTTGGAAAGTGTGAAATTTACAACGTAAAGAAAAGAGGAAATCACAGACGAACCAATAGCATCGAGGGGAGACGTCGGGTGGCGCGGCAATTGGCAGGGACGCTCGTATGATAAATCAGGCTAGTCAAACAAGTAAAGGTTAATGTTATAAATTACTAGTCAAATCACGATAAGATCAAAATCTAAATAACAAAGACAAGTTGTAAACTGCCAAAACAGCAACAAAGTTACACTTTATAAGTTGACTTGATTAGTTACGAGGAATGCGTTACAAAATTAATAAAATTTCATCGAAATGAATTTTTT